TTATAAAAGCGTTGTATATTAAAAAGTTTTTTTTATATTATTTATTTCTCCATGAGTATGCTATTGATTTCATATATCTCCATACCATGTTCGAGTACTCTACCAAGAACACTTTCAAAGATATGCAGTATGAAAAATTCGGTTGAATGGGAAGTGCCACGCCCCCTTTTCCAATAACCACAATTTTTTTCATGAGCATGCGATTGGTTTCATATATCCCCATACCATGTTCGAATACTCTACCATTAACACTTCCAGAGATATGCAGTATGAAAAATTCGGTTTGTATGGAAGGTGCCATGCCCCCTATTCCAATAACTACAATTTTTCTCCATGAGTATGCGATTGGTTATATATATCTCCACATCAAGTTAGAGTGCTCTACCATGAACACTTCCAGAGATATGCGGTATGAAAAATTCGGTTTGTATGGGAGGTTCCGCGCCCCCTTTTCCAATAACCACAATTTTTCTCCAAGTATGCCATTGGTTTGATATATCTGCATACCAAGTTAGAGTACTCTACCATGAACACTTCCAGAGATATGCGGTATGAAAAATTCGGTTTGTATGGGAGGTGCCACGCCCCCTTTTCCAATAACCACAATTGTTCTCCATGAGTATGCGATTGGTTTGATATATCTCTATACCAAGTTAGAGTACTCTACCATGAACACCTCCAGAGATATGCAGCATAAAAAAATCGGTTTGTATGGGAGGTGCCACGCCCCCTTTTCCAAAAACCACAATTTTTCTCCATGAGTATGCGATTGGTTTGATATATCTCCATGCCAAGTTAGAGTACTCTACCATGAACGCTTCCAGAGATATGCAGTATGAAAAAATCGGTTTGTATGTGAGGTGCCACGCCCCCTTTTCCAATAACCACAATTTTTCTCCATGAGTATGCGATTGGTTTCATATATCTCCATACCAAGTTAGAGCACTCTACCACGAACACTTACAGAGATATGCAGTATGAAATATTCGGTTTGTATGGGAGGTGCCACGCCCCATGCACCTAGCGGTATGAAATATACTTTACATCCGATTCTCATACCAACCAAATATACACAAAAAATTTCATAAAGATCGGTCCAGCCGTTTCGGAGGAGTTTTTTTAGCAATAACTCGGTTCCAGCGCCACTAAAAATTATCATTAAAATCGTTTCGGTCGTTTAGGAGGAGTTAAGCCACCTGAATAAGTCTTTTACATACTGACACTCTCCGGCATTTTTTCCCATACAAAAAAACCCTCACGCATTCGTTATACGGAGAAAATGCGTAACATCATTAGCGAAAAAACATTCTCAAAAATACACGGTATCTTATAGCCATTGCACTTTATGATACTGAAATTGAGTGAACTACAAAACTGCATACTCAAAATTTGGTACAAAAAAATTTATTACGAAAAAGAAAAAAAAACTCTTTATTCTGGGTATATATATTTACAGATAAGTAAAAGTTTCAATTTCGGAGGAGAAGCTCGGCCAAACACTAACATATGTGTAAGCGCCAATCTATCTATATTAATAAAAATGTTGTGTTCGTATGTCACGGTCGTCAAAACTCGAGAACGGCTGAACCGATTTGAGTAATTTTTTTTTTTGTATTGTTCGGTATAATACCAAAACCAATGATATCGCAAAAAATTGGAGGGTTGCCACCTATTTGAAAATTTTTAAACCCAATTATATTGATGAAATAAATAAATTGTTACAATATGGGTATCAAATTAAAGAGTTTTTAGAAAGATAACTGCTGGAAATATTTTTGATGAGGGTTGCCACCTATTTGAAAATTTTAATTCAGACAAATTGATAAAATAAATGAATTATTGCCATGTGGGTGTAAAACTATAGAGTTTTAAGAAGGCGTACAGCCGAAAATATGTTTGAAGAGTGTTGCCACCTGTTTGAAAATTTAACTAAAGTACATCGATAAAATAAATGAAATATTACATTATGGGTATCAAATTAAAGAGGTTTAAGAAAGATATCTGTTGAAAATATTTTGGAGAAGGGTTGCCACCAATTTTTAAATTTTATCTCAGTTAAATTGATAAAGTAAGTTAAATATTGCTATGTGGATATCAAACTAATGAATTTTAAGAAGGCTTACAGTCGAAAATATTTTAAAGGAGGGTTGCCACCTGTTAAAAAATTAAGCGCAATTTTATTGATAAACTAAATGGTATATTACAATATAGATATTAAATTCAAGAGTTTTAAGAAAGATAGCTGCTGTAAATATTTTTGAGTAAAGTTGCCACATCTTTGAAAATTTAAACTCAGTTATTTTGATAAAATAAATGAAATACAGTAATTTGGGTATCAAACTTTAGATTTTTAAGAAGGCTTATAGCCGAAAATATGCCTGAGGAGGGTTGCCACCTGTTTGAAAATTTAACTCAATATAATTGGTATCAAATTAAAGAGGTTGAGGAAAAAAAACTTTAGGAAATACTTTTGTGCAGGATTGCCACCTATTTGAAAATTTTAACTCAGTTATATTGATTAAACAAATGAAATATTGCAATGTAGGTAGCGAACTAAAGAGTTTTTAAAAATGCTACAGTAGAAAGTTTCTTGGAAGAGGGTTGCCACCTGTTTGAAAATTTATCTCAATTAAATTGGTAAAATAAATTAAATGTTACAATATCGGTACCAAACTAAAGGCATTTAAAAATCTTGATTTAGAAATCTATATTTATATATAAAAAAATGTTGTGTTCCTTTGTCACGGTCATCGAAACTCGAGAACCGCTGAACTGAGTTGAATAATTTTCTTTTTGCATTGTTCGGTATCATAGCAGGATCATTTATATTACAAAAATAAATAAATGAAGTATTTCAATATTAAGGTTTACGGCCGAAAATATATTTGAGGAGGGTTGCCACCTGTTTGAAAATTGAACTAAATGTACATAATTGATAAAATAAATGACTTATTAAAATATAGGTATTAAATTAAGGAAGTTTAAGATAGATGACTGTTGGAAATATTTTTGAGGAGAGTTGCCACCTTTTTGAAAATTTTAACTCGAAAGCTTAGTATGTTGCACCAATGTATTTTCAATATAAAGCGATAAAATAAATAAACCATCGAAAAATTAGTCCCTTGTCAAATATGTTTGATTTATTATTATTTTTTTATGGATATGTACAAATGTAGAGCGGGTACGGACGATGTGTGGTGGCTGACGGCCGTTCCTGGTTGAATACGGGAAAATAAGTACCCGCGCTCTTTTCAATAGAATTGAGTTCAACCTCAAAGCAGTAAAACAGTTTGGAGGGGAAGTTAAAAAATAGTTAATTTGGCGGGAAAAGTTTATGACAGTTTCTAATAAATACATATATACATTAGAGTGGTCCAAAAAAATAAGGTCGGATTTTTAATGCCGCCACCCCCTTGTTTTATACCGAAAAAAATATACCCAAATTTTTTATTTTGAAATAAAAAAAAAATTTAGGTAGTGCTCAAAGCGCTCAAAGTATTCCATGTATTTCATATGGAGAAAAAAACATCTTTTCGTACATTTTTGGACCACTTTAGTGTACATGTATGCGTACATATGTACCTATATTATTAATCATTAGGGTGGACCGTTTTGGATTGATTAAATAAATGAAATATTGCGATGTGGGTATCAAACTAAAGAGTTTTAAGAAGACTTACAATCGAAAATATGCTTGAGGAACAATATGGTTTTGATTTGGAAATATTTTTTATAGGATTATCATCTATCTAAAAGTAAAGACTGAAAATATTGAAATGAAATGAAATATTACATAACTGGTTCCAAACGAAAAGTATTTGGGAAAGCTTTACTAGGGAATTTTTTTAATTCTTTCCACTTATCCAAAATCCGAACATTGTAAATAAATATAGAATTTACAACATTTTCTCAAACGAAGTGATCATATTATCAACGAAGAGCTGGTACACAAATTACTTAATGTAAAAAATTCATAAACAAATAATTTTTAAGCAAACAACACACCGACTCCAATTCTCATATAAATGTGTAATAGTACCGTTAATTTTTTCATGATCCAATGATCGGATCTAAACCAAATTAGTATGGGATCACCTGGAAATCGGTTGACGCGGTCCTAAATTATGCGGTAACATGCATAAAAAAAAATCCGACGAATTGATAACCTTCTCCTTTTTTTTGAAGTCGGCTAAAAACTACTGAAACAAATAACAAAATGATAAAAGAGTACCGAAAACAAAAAACTATGGCATGAAAGCTGTTTAAAAAATACTTAATGAAAACATAAAATTGTTGACACCATTCCCTAGCATTATAAATCAGTCAACTTTTAATCGTAAGCAATTTCGTTAGGGGTCGCCAAGGCCTACTACGTATATTGCGTGTAAAGAAATTTTGAATAACATGAGATAATATTATTATGATTATGATTATCATTACTATTGTGAACTCCTATTCCCAATCAAGGATTCCCAAATTAAAGCGAAAGCAGAGGAGCATTTACGATCGCATGATGCAAATGTTAAGATAATAAGAGCTGCAGAACTGAACCATGAAGGAACATTTTTTTTACAAGGGCGTGTAGTTTCTGGCGTGTGCCGATGACATCGACATCAACGGTAACAAAAATAGCGAAGTCTCTTCTGCCTTTTCCAAGCGGGATAAGGAAGCAAAGCGAATGCGCCTGGTGGTAAACGAGGACAAGACGAAGTATCTCCAGTCACCGCGTTCGCGCGTTGGAACCCACGTCACTGTTGACAGTTATAAT